CTGCCAAACTTCTTTTTTGTTTTCCATTCTCTAAGAAACGTAAACCAACTTCTGTTTTTTTGTTATTTCTTCATTCCTGTCGTTTTAATTCTAAATCTGACTTTATTGTATAGCAGAGGAATCCTGAACCTTTCATTTCCTGAGCAGACCGCAGCTAACCCCGCAGCAGTTGCTGTGCATGGCTAGCAGCCGTGTGTCTGTGCAGCTGATCCACCATGCTCCTCACACATGACCGCTGCTGACAACCACCCGGTCAGATGGGTTTGCTGCTTTCAAGCGTGACTCATGATGTTCATCTTAACTTGATTGTTTAAAATGATTCCAAACGTTGAAAAGCAGGATTTGATTTAGGCGTCGTTGGTTCCTTTCATTCCGGTTATGTCTGCATTAATCACATGAAACTGATGGAATCTGGAAGAAGACTATCTGCATTTTGCTAATTTTCTAATTGCAACAGGAGGAGCGGGTTGGTTTCCCTGCATGTACATCCTATAGCCTCTGATGGGATCAATGAAAACATTTAAATATGTGAAGGAAATAAAATCCAGAGGAGCTCTACACAAAATATATAAACAAAAAATCTAAATTAAATGACAAGAATAAACATAGTATTCTAAATAAGAATAATTTTGGCTCTTAACCCAAACTTGGCTACAAAAATACAGCAGGAGAGTATTTAAAAGGATATGTTCGTTGAAGCTAATCCTAAATCAGATGGTTCTGTTTTTAAAAGTGAAAGGATAAGTAGAGTTAATCCTGCTCTACAGGTTCCACTCGCACCCATGTGAGAGCTTCTTCTAGCCCTGATCTCAGCTTGCAGGCTGCAGAGATCCATTAGAGAGTGGAAAAAACTTTAAGGTATTGTGCTGCTTCTGTTTTTATGTATGCAACTAAAGAATAAGAAAGAAGCGAGCAGCTGATGGTTCCTGTTATTTTAAAATGTCTCTGATCACTAACGCTCTTCTTAATGCACGTATTAAAAAGCCGTCCTCTATGAGAACTTGCTCACTACAGATGATCTGGTTTATGTTGAAGCTTTGGATTCGACCCAAAGTTTGTCTCTTGAACCATAAACAGGAATCATTCAGTCTGGATCTGTGCAGATTGAACCTGATAGTAGATGAACACAGAGTGCTTTTATACTCTGGTTACTTTGCTCTTTTCAAACAGGCCGTTGTCTTTTCTAAACAGGCTGTTACCCACCAAAGTCGGACAAGTAGTTTTTTTATAAAATCTTTATTTTTCTTTTTTGAAAATGACTGCTATGTAATTTCATATTTAATGGACACTTTTGTTTTTTATTCAGATATTAATATACTGTAACACCTCAAATGTTGGTATTTTAAAACACTAGTCTAAAGAAAAGAGAAAACTTTTCTTCCTCTCTTAAAATCAGATTAAACTTTTTATGTTGGTCAGTCTGCAACATCCCCAGATTAATTAGGGAGTTAATTTATGATGATTTCTCTAACTTGAGAAATGTTTATTAAACTATAAGGAAATGTGTTAACATTTCCTTATAGTTTAATAAATTAATTTTGTTTGTTTTTTCCACCAGAGAATAAAATAATTTGATAGAATTTTGTCTATTTCTTCCTGATGACATTCTGCAATTGCAAATCCAGAATACAGACCAGTTTGTCTTGAAGTCATGTTGGATCTAGTTCTGCAGCTGTGAAGCACATGAAAACATCAAGTGATAAAATGAGGAATAACTGGCTGAGAAACTCTTGATTCGTTTTTAGTGCCGTCTAGAAATCACTGAGAGATTTGATCTGATGTGATGTGAGGCAGCGATCGGATCTGGTTTCAGCTCTTACCTGCTGACAGATTATCAGTAAGAAGGTGTGCAGCAGTGCGTTCTGTCCTCCCTGACCTCTTCCTCTGACATAGCTGATGCTTATTGAGGTGTGTTCAAGACCACGGTCGGTTGGAACCCATGTAGACATACCCGTTTTTTGTTTTTTTTTCCACCCTCAGAATGAAATCTTTTGAGCAAATCCTGCTGGTAGTAGTTTGACTGTAAGTGGTGACCAGGGTTGATTATCTGTGAGACCAGCATACCACGTCAGACCAGCATACCCATGGTCAATATGCATGCGCAAGACATCAGATTTGTGTTTATCCCTTTAGTTTGGTATGCAAAATAGACTTTGAATTACCTTGATGGGTGTGTAACCCTTTAGTCTTCAAAAAACACCAAAAGCTAAGTAATTAAATAGTTTTTTTGTACATGACTAAAGGTATACACGCCCGCTGAGGTAAGTTAACCCTTTAAAGCCCGATCCAAGAATAAAACAAAACAGAAAATTACTTTTTTTGGTTTGAATTCCTTATTTGCCCTTTTAACAAAATATGTAAAAAGAAAAAACAGAAATACATTTTTGATATTATAATAATTTATTACTATGCGATAAGTCAAGATTATTTTTTGTGTAGTCTTCTACTAGCTGTTATCAGGTATATCTGATTGTGTACAATAGGATTTTGAGCAAAGTTTTTACCATTAAATTATGCAAAAGGTGTCAGATGCAAAACATTTCAGAAACCGTATGTATCAAATATGATACATTTGGCATTACAGGGTTAAAGTCTGTTTTTCGTACAAAACTAAAGGGATAAACTAAAAGGATATACACTCACTGGCCACTTTATTAGGTACCCCATGCTAGTAACGGGTTGGACCCCCTTTTGCCTTCAGAACTGCCTCAATTCTTCGTGGCATAGATTCAACAAGGTGCTGGAAGCATTCCTCAGGGAGTTTGGTCCATATTGACATGATGGCATCACACAGTTGCTGCAGATTTGTCGGCTGCACATCCATGATGCGAATCTCCCATTCCACCACACACCAAAGATGCTCTATTGGATTGAGATCTGGTGACTGTGGAGGCCATTTGAGTACAGTGAACTCATTGTCATGTTCAAGAAACCAGTCTGAGATGATTCCAGCTTTATGACATGGCGCATTATCCTGCTGAAAGTAGCCATCAGAAGTTGGGTACATTGTGGTCATAAAGGGATGGACATGGTCAGCAACAATACTCAGGTAGGCTGTGGCGTTGCAACGACGCTCAATTGGTACCAAGGGGCCCAAAGAGTGCCAAGAAAATATTCCCCACACCATGACACCACCACCACCAGCCTGAACCGTTGATACAAGGCAGGATGGATCCATGCTTTCATGTTGTAGACGCCAAATTTTAACCCTACCATCCGAATGTCGGAGCAGAAATCGAGACTCATCAGACCAGGCAACGTTTTTCCAATCTTCTATTGTCCAATTTCGATGAGCTTGTGCAAATTGTAGCCTCAGTTTCCTGTTCTTAGCTGAAAGGAGTGGCACCCGGTTTGGTCTTCTGCTGCTGTAGCCCATCTGCCTCAAAGTTCGACGTACTGTGCGTTCAGAGATGCTCTTCTGCCCACCTTGGTTGTAACGGGTGGTTATTTGAGTCACTGTTGCCCTTCTATCAGCTCGAACCAGTCTGGCCATTCTCCTCTGACCTCTGGCATCAACAAGGCATTTCCGCCCACAGAACTGCCGCTCACTGGATGTTTTTTCTTTTTCGGACCATTCTCTGTAAACCCTAGAGATGGTTGTGCGTGAAAATCCCAGTAGAGCAGCAGTTTCTGAAATACTCAGACCAGCCCTTCTGGCACCAACAATCATGCCACGTTCAAAGTCACTCAAATCACCTTTCTTCCCCATACTGATGCTCGGTTTGAACTGCAGGAGATTGTCTTGACCATGTCTACATGCCTAAATGCACTGAGTTGCTGCTATGTGATTGGCTGCTTAGAAATTAAGTGTTAACGAGCAGTTTGACAGGTGTAGCTCATAAAGTAGCCGGTGAGTGTACATATATTGACAATGTGTACGGTCATTTGACAGAGCACCGGTCCAAGAAAACTGTGCGACTGCCGCAGGCCCCTTGCTTTATGATTATAGTAACAAAAACACAGTTTGGTGATCAAAATAGAGCACTATTACATTAACGTAAAGGGGGGAGTGGTAGCCTAGTGGTTAGGGCATTGCGCTTGGAATCCAGAGTTTCAGCGTTCGAGCCCCACTCCCACAGACTGCCACTGTGGGTCCCTGAGCAAAGATCCTTAACCCCACACTGTTCCCCGGGCGCCATACAATGGCAGCCCACTGCTTCCCAAGGGGATGGGTTAAATGCAGAGAGTACATTTCTTTGCTCTGTACCTGTGACAGAATGCATCTTTGGTCTTGCATCTACATAGATAATATTTGTATGCATTATTCAGTTACATGCATGATGCGTCATTGTGTATTTGATTTAATGTGTCTGCTTTAACTGTTGTATTTGTGCTGCCATTGTATTCGTTTCTCTCCCTTTCTCTCCCTGCACTTTGATCCAAAGAGTATAAAACGTATGATACTTTCACTGCAAATAAACTCCATACTAGTGTTTATTATTTTCAGCACACAGATAAGAGACTGTAAACAGCAATGCCAGAGCTGCAAACAGTTTATAGTCGGTATGTGAAGGATCTGATTATTGCACTGTTTATGGTATTGGCAGAAATAGGGGGAATCAAGTCAGATTTAGCTTGGTCCATTCCTGGTGGTGACCTTAAACTAGAGGTTTTCTTATAACTGAACATGGAGAAATTTCCAGATGCAGTAATTTAGTCAGTTTCTGAGGGAAAACTGTAAACTATGGCTGCAGCCGTGATTCCAGAGGATTTGAGTTTATTAACTGACCCTGATGCATCCAGCGTCGCATCAGACAAGAAAACAGCATGACTTGATCAGTAGAGAACTTATTAACCCACACTGAGCAGTGTGTGAAAAGGGCATCTCAAGAGAAAAGCCAAAAATATTCATTTTAATACAACAAAGTGTAAAACAAATGAGAGAAAATGTCTGTATTTTATTGGATGAAAATTGTTTTATGCATTGCATCACTTTTCTGGAAAACTCCTCCCTCATCATCATCACCTCTGATGTCATCTTCTTTGGGGTTTTTTCACAGAAAACTACCATGTCAGCAGCTCTGACCGGAAGACGGAGTCTGTAGCGAACCTGCAGCCGCAGCCGTCCCTCAACTCGCTTCAGTCAAGCTCTCCGGGTCCCAAACGTTCCGGAAACCCTCTGAGAAAGTGGCTGCCGAGTTCCAGCCGCAAGATTAGCTCCGGCAAGAAAGTCCCCGGCACTAAACAGAAGAAGCCAGGTAAGATGCAGGAAACGTGCAAGTGCACACAGTTCTCATCCAGACAGATTGTTTAAGCTGAACTAATATGGCGGTTATTGGTGAATCAAAAAGAGAACCAAGATGGGTTGTTGGCTGGTCTCACCAGGTTATTCTGTTTTTTGCATCAGCATCCTACTTTGTCAAGTATCATCTGTCTCCGTTTCCATGGCAGTGGTTTTGGCTGCACATACGTTAGCCTGTTGATACACCTGATATCTGTATCTATGACTGAGGAAAAACCTGCTCTCTTTTCCAGAACCTGGATCCGGAAGAGATGGCAGTGGAAAGGTCAATGAGCTGTGTCACCCTGGAAAGGAGGACATAGAAGAGGTAAACGGCGAGAATAGTGACCCAAACCCCCTGAATTAAGGAATATCTTTATTAGTTTTTGTAGATTTTAAATCCCAAATGACTTCAGGTAGGAAGAAACATTGGGTTGTTTTTGGTGAAGTTTGTGTTCTCCCGTAAAAGTTTGACTGTGGAGCCGTTTCTGTAAACTCCTGTCTGACCAGGTTAAAGGGAAACCTGTGTTGCTGTTGTGAAGATATTGACTCCATTTACATCATGGAAAGTAAACATGCAAAGTTCCTCTTTTTGTGTGAAAGGGTCACACACAAACACACACACACACACACACACACACACATACACACACACATTAAGCCTACTATGCCCTAAACCTGACCATATCTACCACTAACCTTTACCTAAACACGATTTACACCTTGGAGCAAAAGTTAGCAAAGTGAGGCACTTAAAAATGTCCTCACTTTGATACACAAATAGGAGCACAGACACACATGCTTCTATGTTATCGACGGATGACAAAAATGCAGTCCAGCATCCGTTGCGTTCCTTTGCTGCTTATGGTGTCCTTTGTGGAACGGCGATAGAAATCTTTGGTGAAACTCCAACGATAAGAAGAAGAAGAAGAAAAAAAATGAATCGTCTCTGAGCTGCAGAGCATCCGACTGCTCACCGAGGAGATGTTTCAGAAGCAGGTTTCCCAGTTATGCAACATTACAGTACTTTGCATGTTTTTCCAGCCTGTAGATCCAGTTTAGAGCTGGAATTGGCTTCACCCCTCAATGATTCTGGTTATTATAGACAGCAGTGACTGAGCCATTCATGACGGTCATTAAAATAACTCGAGTCTTAGATTTCAGTTTCCTGTTTTACATACAAGCAAAGATGTGGACACGTCAGATTTGACCGTCAGCTGAGCTGCAACAGGTCTGCTGGTGTCTCTGTAGCACAGAAGCTTTCACTCACTGGAATTATGTAAATATTTTTGGCTTTGACTCAGATTCGCCTCACCTAAATCTCTCTCTTACTGTTATGAGTTATTAGACTGCAGAATTGTTCAGTCTTTTAAAAACGATTTACACTTAATTTTATAGTGCATGAGGAGCCACTGAAGATACGCTAGGATGGGAGCGATGTGCCTGCATGTTTGTTTCAGGGTTAAATAAGTGAGCAGTAGAGTTCTGCTCAACCTCTAGATGGCGATGGAGGTCTGGCTAATGCCTCCATACATTGACTCATAGTAGTCGAGGCGAGCTGTGATAAAAGCCTGGACTCATTTCCTCAGATCTCCTCTTTCTAAGATTAGTTTCACCTTTGCTATTTGGCAAAGTTAATTAACCCTTTTCTAAACAACAGTGCTGATCTGTTTCTCTACCTTAAAGTGGGACTCTACCTTTAGCCCTAGAGGATGACACACACTCTCTGAAATGAAATGATAGTGAGCCAAGATCAACCGACTTAGACTTGGGCAGACTTTAATGTCATTTTGTACACACAGAGTGTATATAAAAAATTTTTTTGTTCTGTACAGCTCTCAACTGTAGGGGAGGGATGGCAACTTGGTCCAAACAACATGGCTTCTGTCTTCTTCTCATTTAGACTAAGAGAAAGACGTGTTTTGATGTCATCAAGGCAGATTGGCTTTTAGTGTTGTAGTTTGGCCTCCATGCAGTAGAGGGCAGCGTTGTCAATCTTTAAACGATAGTTGCAGGAGTTAAAAAATTTGCAAAGATTAAAAAATACGATAAATAGATGCCAGAACAGAAACATGACATAATCCAAAAAGGTTATAGAACTTGATCTTTTTATTTTCTACTTTGTTTAATGGTGACATGATGAAGCGTGCATTTTATATTATTTTATTTTTCAAAACATGCCAACTTATCATTACAGCCATTTTACAGAGTTGTTTTAAAGGAAGAAGCATTGCTGCATCTTATAATATTTCACTCAGTGATAGTTTAAATCACCTGCTGTTCCCTAAGGCGCCTGCAGAGGGCAGTGTGGCCTCAGTTCCCTGGTGAGCACTGAGAGCACCCATTCAAATCAGCTGAGCAGGTGATTATTCTCTCCTCTCCTAGGCTGCCTCCAGGGCAAATTGTTTGGATCTACCGCAGCGAGCGTGAAGGATGAACACAGTTAACTCAGACGATGTCTAACTGATGTTGTTTGCTTCAGCATTGAGTTATCAGTGAGATAAATGGTTAGGATTAATAGAAGGATGGATGTGCATGCTGCACAGAACCAACAGGACACAGTGTGGATTCAATCAGGCTTTATTGTTTGGTTTAATCCACTACATGCCACCACAGACACATCATTATCTTATAAACTAGACTAGTCAATACGATGGAGGTTCTTCATGAGCTGCTTCATGTCTCCTGTGTCAGAGGGTAAACATCAAGGAGGGAAACCCATTATCCAAGTCGTCTGCTGGGATACAGAGCGGCGGCGAGGATGAGCCAGAGCCAGATGATGAGCCCCACCTTCCTCTTCCTCCCCCCATGGAGATCATGAAGGACCCCTCAGCTTCAGAGGACAAGGTAATGGGGACGTGTTCATTACTTCTTTTATATCAACCTGTGCTTTAAAATAAAACTCTTCATCTAGTTTCTCTGTTTTGCTGATTAACAGCTTTGCTTGTCTTTAAACTGTTTTCTTGCTGCATGCTTTCCTCCTTTCCTTCCGATCTAACCTGCTGCTCCTTCTGCCTCCCTCTACAAGCCTTCATCCTTGTTAACATCTCTGCAGTCGTCCTCTGACGTCCCCAGTGCTGCAGAGCTGGTTAGCGCCATAGAGAAACTGGTCAAAACCAAGATGGTGAGTGACCAGCTAGAGAGTAGAATTGTGCTTTCTAAAAAAAAAAAAGCATCAGCATTAAAAAAAAACAAAAGCCTTTTTTATAAGAGCCCACAGCCAGCCATCAAACCACCACCTCTTCGTACACAGCCTTTATGGGTAGAAATTTAATCAATGGCAGCTGCTGCTCTCTGAAACAGGCTCAGAGGTGTTGATTAAATCCAAACGTCACGTTTTTACGGTGGCCCTGAAGTGCAAAGTGCAACTACAAATCTAAAAGCGCAACTACATTAAGAAAAACAAAACTACATAAAGCAAAGCGGAAGTCATTCTGCCTGCTTTGGCTTTTGAAAACATGGATATTGTCGGCGCCCCAAACATAGCTGCCATTATCCAGGAATATTTAGAATCAGGACATGCGTACGAGGTGATACTGGATATGCTCAAGACTAATCACGAAATTTCACTTACTATGCATACACTGAAGACAGACTTAAAAGAAGCTGGACTGTTCAGATGACGCAACTTCCGGTTCAAGGGTCAAACGGAGCCGTCGTCCAATCAGCCACGTCTCATGTTTCCCACTGGTACCTACCTTTTCCAGTAGGTTAATGTAATTGTGTTTTCCTTAATGTAGTTGCGATTTCCTTATTGTAGTTGCGCTTTTAGATTTTTAGTTGCAGTTTGCACTTCAGGGTCACCGTACGTTTTGCATTAACAAATGATCAAACGCATAAAACACGACACCACATCAAGTGAAATTTGTTGTGAAGCGTTCTGAAATAATAGACCCTATAAACCACGGCAAGAGTTCAGCACGATAACTGTTCTGACTGGATGATCACGTTTCCCTCTCGTCTCATGAGGAAAACCTCCTCGCTTCTGACCACTGCCAGTCAAAAATACTTAAGCATTTAGCACATTTTTAATGCAGATTAATGGCTACATATATGGTAAATGGACTGTACTTGTATTTTTCAAGACAGGAGACTTGATAAAAGGGCTTTACACTACACTCAGTCATTCACCCATTCACACTCACACTGATGTGTGGCCAGCTACATTGTAGCCACAGCTGCCTCAGGCTCACTGACAGAAGCGAGGCTGCCATACACTGGCGCCAACGGGCCCCTTCACCTGCATCAGTAGACAATGCAGGTGAAGTGTCTTGCCCAAGGACACAAAGAAACTGAAAGCCAGCGGCTGGGCTTGAACCTTTAACCCTTTCGATTTCAGGGCAAACTCCTACACCCGACGCCACGTCAAAGCCGGGCATACACTGTGCGATATTTTCAATCGTTGCACGTAGCTACAGGACAAACTCTACGACGAAACCAAAGGGTCTAAAAGTTCACAGCTCAAGATGCATGTTCTCACACTGTGCAGTGTGACACTCTGATGCGGTCTACCTGCTCGCACTGTACGTCCAAAAACCGCACGTCGGACTCGGCGTCGAGTTGGACTCGTCAATCTAGAAGAAGAACTCCCTTCTTTGCGTGTGTGCAGTGCTCAACGTTCTGGTAAATCCGGCTGCTTCAACAGCCGGATTTGCCCAGGACCGCCTCGCGACGGCTGACTGAATTCTAAACATGTTGGATTTTCTCCGGACCTTACGATTCCTGATCAGGAGGGGGGCGCGAGAGGCTAATCGCCCCTCCTTACCCCCTTTATACTGCCTGGCGCAGGATGCACGAGGAGGCTGAAACTTGGCCTGATCGAAAAATTCTCGCACGACTGGAAAATCTGCCCGAAGAGGGCAAAAATTGTACAGTGTATGCAAAGCTATAGCCTCCCTAGTATTGAATGAGAAATCACCATTTGATGGGTCAAAGAAAGGGAGCATTAGACCGATTCTTTATGAGTCCAAGAGTCTCTCCCTCGCAGCTGTAAGGAGATGGTAGCATTTAGCCGACAGGCGTACAGCTGCTGGTCAGTGAACTTTTCAACACCATCAAAAAGTAAACATGTATAATTTACTTTTTCTAAGCTCTTTAACAGAACATAAGATTTTACGGAGGAGACTTTGGAGGAAAAGTTCTTCTTTCCCACTGAATAATCTCTCTTTCAATGTTTAGGCCCATTTTACAGATCATATCAGGTTTCTTGCAAATGGATCTAAAATAATGTTCTGTTATAATCAGTAGGTCTAACTGTCCAAATTGGGATTTGAACCATTAAGACAATGCATTGCTGTAGTTTTATCAGAACTTCATGTATCTTCAAAAAAAGGCCAATTTATTTAAGAAATTAAATGTTTTAATTTTCTTTGCTTTTTGTAGTTTATGTCTCCAACAAAATGTCACAGGCATGTTTTAGATGCTTTGATTTTCTGCTAAACAACTAAAGTACTTTATGCTGTGCAATCAAAGCACAGTAGAGTCTTTAAATGGGGGCAGATTTGTTTAAAGTTGCTGCAGAAACGCGCTCTATTAAGCAACATGACCTGCAGTCACAGTAAGCAAATAAGAGCAGCTGATTTTTGCTTCTGAGGAGCTCCTTTTTACCGCCGCCGCCCCCTGCTGTCAGGAAACATCAACATCCTGAATGTTTCTGGATATCTTTGCTCATTTGTTTTTGTGTCTTCAGACTGTGGAACCGTATCCAGGCTTCACTCCTCCATCTCCAACAACGGAACAACACACTCCAGTTCAGGCGAGGAACTCTGAACTGGACCAGAAAGCCAAAGCTATGAGACACCGGACGTAAGTACCGAGACATCTTATTTTACTACATTTTAATGTAAGGGCAGATTTCAGGTCAATCAAGGTTATTGAAGAATATGTGAGACTCTGAGACCTGCATGTTTTTAAGAGAGAAATCAACCCCAAGGTAAAGTGGGCGGGAGGTGCGAGAAGGAGACAGGATGAAACAGAAGGTGTATAACAAAGAACATCAGGGATTTATGGAGGTGACAGGTTACTGACAGCTTTGAAAAGTGAGGACAGAGTTTATACATGAATGGGTAACTCTTATTTAATGCTCTTTTAATGCTCTTAGACATAATCTTAATGCCATCAACAAATACCCATGACTTATATACTTATGACTTATGATATATATATATATATATATATATATATATATATATA